AGGTCTCAAACATGTAATCGCTGCCTGATGAGTGCAGATAAGTATTAATCCGGTGGTGGAGCGTGTTATTTCCCGCAGGAAACACATACGCTTTATGCGCTGGCTCTTGTTTACTGTTTAATTGACGCAGATCAATTTAAGTGGAGATATTATCGCATACAGAAAGAAGGGTCGTCATTACTTGTGCGTTTCCAATGGAGTAAATCTTTGTTAGTTTGGACGCATTTGATGTCAGGTTGGGTGAGACGAAAGAAACAAATCCCTTAAAATACATCTCCGGGCAAGACTTTTACAGCACCGCCCATGTATAGATATATTTCTTTACAATTTATGAGCAAACAGCGTCATTCATCCATGCCAATAAAGCTGTTGTAGTTAATCTTCAACCTGCAAGTTTAACATCTGATATGTTGTACAAAATGTTCAGACAAGTTACGTCATTAGAGCCTACCATAAAAGTGTTCTTAAGACTCCCTTTTTATTTCCACCGCCTCAGGAGAAAACCGTCGGGCAAGAGAGAGTTGTGGAGCGAATAATATATTTGACTTTCACACGTTGGAAGAGTTTGAGTCTACAACTCTTCCGTGCTGCCTAGTGCAATGACAGCGAATCCGCGACTGTTTATCGCCCCAAGATGGTTTTTAGTTCAGCACAGAAATCGATCACTGTAGTTGCAGCTGTGCAGTGTCATTCCGTCTTGTCTGCATTGGATTTAGGCCCATGTTCACTTGTAGCGATTAGTTGTGAGAAACTTGTTGTTTTCCCGAGCTAACAGTCACATTGACATTGATTGATAGGTTACTACGTGAAGTGATTAGCAGCTAAGCCCTGAAATGGACAACGCAATGGTTCATGTTACAATGTGGGGGTCGCTGGAGACCTCATGTGAAGTGGCAACCTGTTCAATTTTCTGATTATTATAATTGTTCATTCTAGTTAATCTATCCGGGCTAATAATACCTAGCTGGACTCAGTATGGGAAGCACACTTCAATGCTTAAGATGGCATAAACTGAACGTCGCCAAGTAGAGCAGCGAGCGCCTTATTGGAATACAGCTGCTAGGACATAAAACTTTCTCCTGAGGTGGTATTGTAGAGGCGGGCACAAGTGACATTCCGGAAGCATAAGTTAAGTTCGTACCTACTTCCAGCTTGGATTTGAGTGCAATGAAAGGACACATCAATCTGTATCAGAGCTAGATTTTGCATCCGGAATCAGTCATAAAGTGGAAGTGTTACTAAATGCCGAAATAAGCTAAGTAAATCGCATTTACGCATAGGATACAGGACAATCTTAGGTATAAGCTATAGAATATTGCGGATGAGATTCAAAATGATTACAGAAGTTACGCATATTGAGGGTTTACAGTGGCTCTTGGGCTGAGTCCTCAGAGGTCCATATTCTCTTAAAGGCAGATTAACGTTATACAGACATTCGATACTCCTTTATACTTTCAGAAGCACAGTCAATTTGTACTTTAACAACTACGTGCCATTTTGCAGATAAACTACCACCGTTTTACCAGGTAACTTGGAAAACGGATACATGAATCTCTTAAGCAACACCCGAGATTTAATGCAAGTGGAAGCTTTGTTTTGGTCATAATAAACATAGATGCGGCTCCTACAGTTGTAAACCTTAAAACTAACCGCATTTACTCGATTATAAGCAGTGTGGCTTGAGGAATTGAACCAAAGTTACTGAATTCTGACTGATTCACTAAAAATACCTTCATCCCTATCCATCGGGGCTTTGTGACATGCGGCGCAAGATACCTGGTGATCGTATTAACATTTGCCTTGGTCGTCACACAAGATGTGGTTTAAGCAAGACTCACCCAGAATCGTTTAAAATTACTTATTCAATAGAAGGGCCTTGTGCACACGATTAGCCCATTGCTTTAATGCATCGACTCAGTTCTCATACGCTCTTCAGCCTTCTCCAGTTTTGTCGCCTTGCACTACTAATGAGTAGTATGTGTAAAAAGGCATAGACAAGAGAAAATCGGAGATACCATGGCTCGCCTTGCACACCACAATTTCCGCCGTCACGCGCTGTATCAGGAGGTGAGCAACGGAACTGAGAGTCTGAACGGTATCACGAAATAAGTGCGTAAATGGACCCGAATTTCGATATTCGAATCATTATGATATCTAGATTTGGGTTCTCTGATATACAACTAATCTGCTCTGTGTTGCTGACCTAGACTTCCACAGCACAATGGTTGTGAGATGGTTGAACGCAAGCACACGATTATCAATGGACCCGTCTGACCCTCTCTTGCATCTTTATTTGCGTCTTCAAATTCAGGAAACTACGGTCGAATAATAAATGTCAACATAGGTAAAGGCTAAGCGTTCGCCGAGCTGCTACATTTCACCTACACCCAGTAAATGTGGGTTGTGCGCTTTAGAGTTTAACAGAATAGTATCGCGCTAAGAAGTTGTTCACTTTGCGATTTACCTATACTTTTACGCGTGATTACCACCACACCCCAGTCATACGCCCGATTTTCTCAATCAACCGGGAATTGGAACCAAACTGTACAGAGGTTTTCCGGAGAAAAACTAGTTGTGTAGTTGGAGCAAAAAGACATTTATGCGTCTAACAGAACCACGAAATTTCTCCACTTGGTTTAGTCCACTGATTTTTAGCGCAATCCGTTTCCCACCCAGAGTAGTTGAAATGTGGAATTAGCGTTATGAATGACGCAGACCGTCCGGCTAAATTGCAATTTGTTATAGATGTAAGAAAGAAACTTTGTGTTTAATAAGTCATCTAATCGATCTGCTGCGATTACCATAGTCGGATCGCGCTACACTTGCCCTATGCCATAAAAAGGTATCAACGCAAAACCACATAGAATTAAGCGACGGATGAGGACTAGTAAGATCAATGTTCCAGTTACTAAACCTTTGGACATGCAATTAGGAATCTGACAACGCAGATACCGAATAGCGAGCCCCACGGAGTGTTTCACAGTTTAATCTTGAAACAGAGACAAACATATTATGGTAGTTAGCGAAACTCAAATCGGTTTGCACAAATATGTTCAGGCCAAAGTTTCCATGGTACCAATTGCACTGTTTTGCGGTCCCCACTGCATCAACTAGGAATGAAGAATTTGTCATTTCAGGTTGGTCCCGATGTACGAAGTTAAATTCCACAAAGAGAAAAATGCCATACCTGATACAGCAAGTGATCGGTAGATTGTAGCATATCGTAAGTAAACATCTACTTTTGCTAGTTGCAGATTATTATCAGATTTCCGCATCTAATCATTAAAAGAAGAGCAGCCAGCACATCTATAGGGACATAAGTACCTTAGTCATATGCTTTCAATGCCTACGTGGTATGAGATGAGTTGTTAGCCTGATACCCACTTCTACAGGAAAACGTTACTCTTCCATTCCACTCCTCAGCTCCATTACATCGACATTTCCACTTGGTTCGCCATTGTGCCCATGACATTCAGCGGAGTGAGTGTATGTGTTACAATCGGCGTGATCGCAACGTGGCGAATCTATTCGGAGACACCAATCGTTCGAGCGACAGGTCGGGAACTGGCTTACGTCCAGCTCTCTGGATGCCTCGTCTGCTTCCTGGTTCCCTTCATTTTGTTGGCAAGGCCATCCGTGTTCACCTGTTCCATGCAGCGCATTCTCATCGGGCTCGGATTCGCCATGATGTACGCCTCGTTGCTGACAAAGACAAACCGGATCGCACGGATATTTGACGCGGCAAAGCACACCACCAGAAGACCTGTGTATATATCACCTCGTTCGCAGCTTGTCATTGCCGGTGCACTGATCACTCTTCAATTAGCCCTGTCCGCCATCTGGTTCGGATTTGATGCCCCAGACACGCGAATCGATCCAATCCGATCGGATTATTTGGTACTACGATGTGCGATGAAGGATAAAAGCTTCCTCATCTCGTTGGCATACAATGTAGTCCTTATCATCGTGTGCACAGCGTACGCCGTGAAGACAAGGCGTATTCCAGAAAATTTCAATGAATCGAAATTTATCGGATTCACAATGTACACCACATGCATCATTTGGCTGGCATTCTTACCCATGTATTACGCCACCATGAACAACTTTGAGGTGAGTCAATCCCCGTCCGATGATGCTCTGATGTTATTCACAGGTTTCTCACCGAATATGTTTACACATTTGATGGAAGAATCCCTTAAAGTTCCTAGTTTCTCTTCGTTGCTGAGTTTCAAGTACAGAGAGATTGAATGGTGTGGTCTCCTAGGAACCTCACAAACTCTTGCAGGTCAGTCGTTCAATCAACACACCAAATATATGTACAGAATATATAATCCGCATAACGCCCGGTTTGAGTAGGCCACTTTCGAGTATTCTCATGGACACTTCAGCCAACAGTAGTCTTAAGGGAGATCCCATTGTCACTCCATCCATTCGCAAGTAAAATTAATGGTTATGTTGAAAATGGACGCACTAAATCCGTGTGATCCACCGATTTGGCAAGATGAATGCCTTTGAGATCCATATACAACATGACCTATCAAAGGAGCCATCGGCTGAGTATGCAATCACTTGTGAAGGTGGTATGCTAAGTTTGACAAAGCTGAACCAATGCACCATAAGAAACACTACCAAGCGTTGTAGCTGCTACGACCATCAGCCAAACGATGTGAGCAAAGCCTAACTCAGCAATCGCCAGCTACCATCGATGACCACGGTTTGAATGGGTGGCACTCGTAAATAGATTTAGGTTTTGTTACTGCATATTTCTGTAAAGAACCTGATGATGAATACATACTGAATACTGTATTGTAGGTGTAAGCAGGATTTTAAATCAGAATAGTTTCAAAAATGTCTTACAAATAATTTGCCTTCAATCGTTCTTCAATTTCTTATGTAGAATTTAAAGATGTCTGAATTACAGCATAACTTGGTTCACATATTTGTCCTGCCAGTTCAGGTCAGGTCAAGTCCCAAGGACGAAACATTCTCCCACCTAATGACCGTCCCGTTTTTTTTACCGGCAAGTAAACCAGGGCCTCCAGTACTTCGAAATTTGGGTTACTTCCCTTTGTGAGATTCCTTGAAGGCAGCATGAGACACCCGGGTGTCCCGTTTGCCAATGTCAGTGTGTAATCATACACCGAATCGAATAGTGGTGAAATCCAAACCCAACAAGGTTTTCAACTGCTGCGCAGGTTTCATGTCCACTAATTGTACTGGCAGACTGCTTCACTGGGGTGGGAAACTCGCTTCTTATCCGGCACCATAGTCCTCGTGTGTTGTACCACTTTCGCAAGTGGGGTAGTGGACACAGCATGGGGAAGGCATCGTGATATAATATACTGTAGTTCACGATTATATTGACCGGCAGCCAATGATCAGCCAATGTGTAGATACATAGCTTCTAGCACCAGTCTTCGCAAATCAACCCTAGTAAACTCGAAATTACCTTGCTAACGAGGTGTTGGACCTAATAGAGCTTCTGTGCCTCACCTCGGCTAGTTAAAAACCAACTGGAAACAATTGTCCGCTTTGAAGTCACCGCTAATTTGTATCCTAGGAGTTGTATAAGATCAGTTCTACCGTCAAGTATAAAGTAATTAGGTTGAAACAAAACGAATGGTAACTTTTCACCAGCGCTGAATAAAGGACAGATTATTATCATTTTATCAACTCTGTGTTCAGTCAAGAAAGCTAAGCTTCAGTAAAAGCCTAATTACACGTACAATTTCGAGTGGTCCTTGACCCAATGGCAATTGATCGGTAGTGCAATGCGAGTGAAAAGCAGAGGCTAAACATGTACTGTATGGCAGACACAGTGCAGCATATTGCGCAATATGGTAGATCTGTTTTATAAGTAGATTTATGCCAGTAGACTCACCTCGGTATACGTATTAAAAACTGTTAATCCGCCTTAAATTAATATGGAATGACGAGAAACCTGAAGCTTGTATAAGCCGTGCCATCTCCCATTGAACACGAGTAAGTGGCGACGAATGAGCAAAGAAGTTCGTGTGCGATGAAACCACTAACAGAAACTCGTGCTTGGTACTTGACTTTGAGTCAAGTAAAATAGTTCGCGCTTAACTTTTACTTTCAACTCTACCAGTGGGAACATAGATGACAGATTCCCGTAGGGCGTTCCAAGCTTGACAAACACGTACGGAAAAATAATTCCGACAGCGTTCCAGGTGATTACACAGCTCTGCCATTTGAGATGATGGCCACTGAATACTTTCTTAACTGAGCTACAACAGATAATGACATGTGTGGTTTGAGTCCCTCAAAACATGGTAAGTCAAAATAAGATTCTCAAGGAACCGCCGGTATTGTCTGCTGTAGACCCCGAGCCGTTGTAGCCTTTTTTCATGCGGCAACCAATAGAAACATTTGATAGTCTTGGTTGTCCGGCGTTCAGCTATCTCCAGATCGGTGAGAATCTCCACAGCCATCTCTTCCAGACCCGTATCACGTATTCCACATGGGCAGGTATGTATGATCTGAGAACCTATTAGAAAACCTGCGAATCAAATAGCCTACATGCACGCCGTGGGAAGCCCACATGTTGGATGCAACCTTTTGACGCCTGTTCAGCTTGGCCCTAGCATCCAAGGTCGGCTTGGACCAAAGGCCCAAATAGTTTTCGCTGGAGGTCGTTTGAAGATTCTTGTCACACAGTCTTAATAGTACGTTAGCTGGCGCTTTAATTCTAACCCTCTGTATTTAACCACAGTAAACCGAGGTACAATCTGGATCGACCACGCGTAAATCCTATCCAGATCGGCTTGAAGTAGTGCAATGTCTGCTGGGGTTTTTATCGTCTTCGACACCTTGATGTTATTGGCATACAGCAGACAGTTCAAGCAGGTGAGGCTTGTGATTTCGGTGATTTGCATCAAAGTAACTGTGGCCCCAGTACTGATCCCTGTGGTACACTGCATTCAAATGCGGTGGGATCTGACAGGAATTCAAACACTCGCACCTCCAAACGCCGGTGTATGAGAAGACTTCTGATCCGACCCAGGAGACAATCACCATTACTAAAGGTCGGGAGTTTGGAAAGAAGAATGCCATGGTCCAACAGCACGAATAGCTTTGAGAAGTCGAGAACAACTACAACAACCCTTGTTTCACCGTCTACTGCTTCTGTCCAACTGGATTGTGCTAGCAGTGCATTTGTAACGCAGGATGGATTTCTTTGGCGACCATGCTGTTCTGGTGCAAGTTAGGTAACCTTACAAGTAGACAGTTAGCACCATGATAGTAATGGCTTAAATGATCTTTCAAAGTACCGGTAGTAGAATTATGGGACTTCAGTTGGCTCGATCGGAACGGCTTCCTCTGTTGTGAATTGCAGTTACCGTCCAATTTTTCCACAAGTCGGCCACATATATTTCGTCAAAACAGCATTGGAAGAATCGAGCCCAACGATCAGTTACACTTTCTCCTATCGCGGCAAATGACCTCGGTTAAATACTATCAACTCCAGAAGAGCTGGGCTTTTGCTCATTCAGTGACCTTTTCAGCACAACTTGTGCGAGTTTTTGGGTAACGCAATACAGATGGCCGCGGAACGAGCCGAAACTTTGGAGCATGTGTCAACCGCATTCATTCCTTGCCAGTGTTGGTCGAACCGCTGTGTGAAGAGGAGGAATTCCCTGCTTCACAGTACACAGGCTGTTTACATGTCGAGGTAGCAGCTTGGGATTTGATGAACTACGCATTACCGCATTCGGCTGGTGTACCTTTTTATTCTGGTGGATGAGCTGACTACATTAGTTACGTTTTGTCACAGAAATTCTTGTTTTCTTAAATATGATAAAGATATTCCAGGCAGTTCCACACCGCTGTACACTCGCCTGTCTTGCTTCGTACTCACGTGACCAAGTTTCGCGAGTGGACATTCTTGGTTTCCGACGCTTCCACGACTAGACTGGTAAACTAGCTGACAAAATGTTCTTTTGAAATAGCCGGTGCCTCGTCTGTCAGGAAGATCCGCCTGGTTGTCTCACTAAGTTGAGGCATTACGTCATAGTGCACAATAGTTCTCGTCGTTTGGGTACTTTTCACAGAATCTTCTGCATAACACGTATTCGAAGATTAAGATTGCATGACCCCACAACCCAAAGTGATGTCGACGATCACTCTCTCGATCATGAGTACTTCGTTAGTGAATATCACATCTAATATAGACTACCTAAATATTTCTAAATCTGGCAATATGGCTTGTGTTACCTTAAAGTAGCCAAATAGAGATTTGCTCCTGTAGCTCAGCCCTGAACTGCTAAAAGGGAGCGGCTTTGGATTCCGGAGCATGGCTGTTGGAACCACCAGTGATAAGCATGTTTTGTTTATCCAGAATGATCGCCAATATAAACGGTCTACGTAGCTGAGAAATTTAGATGCATCAACCCCGGGATATCTCTACTTTCCGCTTCTTTACAGTATTCAGTATTCACGCACCTCAGTGTAGATGCCAGAATGAAGTCCATCTCGGTCGTTGAAGATGGACGGTTGTAAATAACAGTCATCAAGCAATCGTCGTCGCCTCTTAAGCCTAGACGACACCAAACGGAACCCTTCACCCCGTTGACCGAATTCTCGGCTGAAGTACGGAGCCCACCTACACCATTTATTTGGTCGGTCATACCGAACAGTGCGCATGCCTGGCAGTGCGATCTCGATCCCACTTATATCGGCGCATAATCATGTCAATGAGCAATGATTTATCACGGGCAAAAATAGGTACATGAGAATGCCAGGAGGATGGTTGAAGCGAAAACTCAAAGGAGCAAAGGATAAGTAGATGGTTAATTTAAGCGCGTACCGATTTTACTACGCTCTTGCATAAAGAAAGGTTGAGATGGGGATTGAATGAACGCACACAATGTACCATGCGAAGTTGTTATAGTTCACGTACACTGTAAAATATCAAATGGCAACGCTCACTTGTATGTCGGTTCCTTGGGCCAATGTGATATGTAAATCCAGTCTGGGTACATTCCAAGTACATTCCCAAGGAAGTGGAAATGAACTATTTGATTTGTTGTGTTAGGTTGGCTTGTGGACATAGAGGATTAGATAGCGTAATATAGGTGTATGAGTGCGTC